TTTTCCTTCAAGAAATTGTTTTCTTCTTCAACTAAATTTAACCTCTCGACAATAGGGTCGGTTGGAATTTCTGGTTCAACAACCTCCTAGATAAATAAAATCTATGTCACGTTGGTCGGCATAATTGTCATAAACAATAAGTGAACCAATAGTTATGAAAAGATAATATATACCACATCCGAATCATAGACAGGACGAGGGCCGACGGGGGCGGATACCAAAACCATCGCACTATATAAGATGCAATAATAAAAGTAAGAAAATTATACAAGTATCTATATAAACATACAAGTAAGAAATTTTTTTTTCTTTCAGAAAGAAGATAAGAACAAGAGGCTCACCACGGTGGTGCTGGCGGCGAGATCGGCGCGGGCGATCGACGGCGGTGAAGACGGGGACGGGACGTGACGGACCGCTAAACCTAGACAAATATTGAGGAAAATGGAGCTTGGAGGTCGAGCTTGGAGAGAAGAAAGCTTAAATAGTGTGGCTCGGGCATTCCATCGAACACCTCATGTGCATAGGAGGTGAGCTAGAGCACCACAAAGCTCTCTCCTCGCCGGCCACGAAAAACTGAGCAGTGGGAGTGCTCTGCTCGCGGGCGAGGGGTATATATAGGCAATTAATTGGTCCCGGTTCGTGGCAAGAACCGGGACTAAAGGGCAGCCTTTGGTCCCGGTTCAGGCCACCAACCGGGACCAATGGTGATGGGCCAGGAGCGAGGCACATTGGTCCCGGTTCGTCCCACCAACCGGGACCAAAAGGTCCAGACGAACCGGGACCAATGGCCCATGTGGCCCGGCCGGCCCCCGGGGCTCACGAACCGGGTCCAATGCCCCCATGGGTCCCGGTTCTGGATTGAACCGGGACTAATGGGCTGACCTGGCCTGGACCATTGCCCCCTTTTCTACTAGTGGGCCTCCGTTTGATACTGATTTCCCGAAAAGCCAAAAACAATCAAAAAACAGCAACTGGAATTTCCTACTCCTCGTATTGATATCTATTGTAAGGCCTCTTCATTGTCTAACAATCCGCCTAGTTTATGATACACTTTCTTATATATTCCATGGCTCACACTCTAGTATTGTGTGGGAGTTGCAAAGCCGAAGTGAGTAAAAAGTATGATCCAATTGCTTGGTTTGACACCGGGGTATTTATGGTAGATACTTTGTATTAGGAAGACCGAGCTATGTCATGCTTACATGATTAAATCTTTAAGAATAATGTTCTTTAGTATTTTTTACTTGAAAGATAATGATTACTTTCTAGCATTCTTGCATATTATCGTTTGATGTCAAATTAAGGAATTAGTGCGTCAAATAATCTGCTTCCCAAAATTCATGCCACAACTGAATTACATATTTGAGAACATGTTACATAACATTCAACAACAATTATGTTTTTATCATTTACCACTCGAGGACAAGTGGGAATTAAGTATGAGGATGCTAATATGTCTCCAACTTATATATAATTTTTGATTGTTTTATGCTAATATATTATCAATCTTGTATGCTTTATATGTCATTTTATATTATTTTTATTGACTAACCTATTAACTTAGTGTTCAGTGTCAGTTTTTGTTTTTTTCCTGCCCAAGTTCATAGAGAAAATGATTTATATTAAATATCAAATATATAAAATATGAAACTACATTCTATGATGAATCTATTGATATGTGTTTGGTATTCTAGATATAAATATTTTTCTTCATTAACTTGGTAAAATTTTATGAGGATTGACTTTATAAAAAATCTATATATACTAAATTATGAAGCGGAGGAAGTACTGTTTAACAACATGCACTGTACCCCCTACACCTGTATGGTTGTATCAAATCACATGTTTGATTAAAAAGAAATCAAAAGAAGGCTAAGACAAAGGAGCCCGGCACGCATTGACGGATCCGGCTTACCTGCTTCCTCTCCATGCTTCCATCCGTACTCCCACTTCATCCTACGTTTATCTTTTTTCTTTTTTCCTTTCTAATATAATCATCTCCCTCCCCCTAATTTTAAAGAGGTGGGGCCGAGCCTTATTTTGTTTCAATCAAAACATGCCACATATGCAGGAGCACGGATGGGCGCACACGTGAGGAGCAGGCAAGTCTCATCCGGCATTGACGTGCTGCATGCATGCAGCTCCAGCGTCGAGTTGGAGCCCAACCAGTGGCACCGGCGCGCTTGCATCGACCGGGGCGGGCAGCAAGGACCGGCGAAGCACGCATCCACGACAGGATCCCCGATCGGACAATAAACCAGCAAACAGTATCGGCGGCACGTTACGCCCCGGGCCGCCTCGTGCGCCGCAGCTGTGCCTGCTGTGCGGGTGCCCGCCGCGTCGTGGCGTGCAGCGCGGCCGTAGCTAGATACAGATAGGTGGGTGCGGAATCCGGCCGCGGAGGGCTCAATAGTGCTCCGGCCGGCGCCTAAATCGCGGCGTGCACGCCTAGGGTTACTCTCAGTGGAGGCTTTTCTTTCTCCTAACAGAGGCGCATAGGGAGGAAGACGAAAGCACCTTTTTTTGTTCAACCCGTCCTAGCAGCATCCACCTTTACGAGATACTACCATCGTGACGATCCGTCAAATCCGCGGTATATCTCGTGGTGATTTTGCGTTCCTTGATGCATCCATGGATATGAAGAGCTTTAACGTAAGCGTGCAGCAGCTCATGTGCGTGTCGACTTGTCAATCAACATCTCCAATATCTTTCAGCGCTGCTATATATACACACACGATGGTCTGTGGACGATTCATGAACGACAACGCAGACCAGCTCGTCCATGCACATCACTAAAGTGAAGTAGACGGCTGAATTTGGTTGTCGTTCCCTTGTCCTGCAGGGAGTTTCATCCGCATAGTAGTTTCAAATACAGAATGACTAATTCACATCTAGATGTATTTTAAGGATGTCACATCTAAGTAGTTCACCATATAATTAGGGGTTTCAAGATTTGTATAAAATGTTTTTTAATTGTTTTTTTGCTGATGTTGTGTGATGTCATACTTACATGTAACATAGTTATGTAACATCTAGATGAGTCCTAGCCACACCTTTTCAAATATCTTTCAATGCGGCGACCCGTGATTCTTCACTCATAAATGGCACCTTCTCTGACGCGGACGAGGCTCCTCTGACGTACTGCAGGGCACAGTTGGGCCACTGACATGTGGGCCCGAAAGCAAGTTGGTCCACCTGTCAGTGACCCAACTGCGTCCTGCAGTACGTTAGGGGAGCCGAGTCCCTCTGACGCATGGACGGACGGACGGGCATTAGCGATGCCGTGCGCGCATCATCAACCGTACCGGATTGCCGTGCGCGCGCGCATCGCGCATCATGCATCATGCACCTACTCAGCGATGTAACAGGGCACACCAATCCAACGTCTCAACTCTCTCCTACATATCCAATCCCATGGCCACGGAGTAGCCTGCCCTGATGGAATTGCAGGCCAGGGCATCACTAGTCTGAATCCCTATATATATGTCGTCTCACTCTCACTCACAAACTCACTCCAGCAGGAACGCAGCAACACAGGACGGACGGGGGTCGGGGTGGCGACTACACCACGCACGCGGCGGCTCCTCACGCTCGGGGGCAAGCTCTCCTCGCTGGGATTCAGATTCCGCCGCGTGGCCTGCGCTTCGGGCTTCCACAGGTGAGTACTGAGTTTCTCCAGCTCGGAATTCTTCATTGTTACGTTTTCAGAGAGTGATGTGCCACTGCTGATTGACATCAATCAGCTCAGCATCGTCAGACCGTCGTGCGGCGGTTAGAGTTACACTATCACATTTTTCCGGTTTCTCAAGGACTTGATGGTATCTGAATGTCTGACTCTCACACGCCACAGCTTACATGCCATCGCTCATGCACTTTAGTCATGCTATATACGCATCATTTCCCCATAAAAAAATACAGCCATATGTCACATACACTAGTATACATACTGTCCAAAAACCAAAGGGTCGCGCCCCGCGGG